GACTTGGCGGCAATACGTTTCTGGTTTTTTCTGTGTAATTGTTTGTTTCTCAGCGCTTAAGGCAGGGGAAGTGTCCATATTTTGTTAAAATAATCGCAGCTTGTGATTGTTTTGCTCACTGCAGGAAATCATTTTTGAAATTGTTTGCAATCAACTATAAACACGAAATTGGTAAAGCTTATATCTGTACCATTTATATATGCAGACTTTTTAAGAGCCTTAACTTCTTATTGAGAAAGAAATATGCTTACAACTTGACGTCCGCTTTGAGTTCGTTCCTTGAGTAGGCACTCGGTTGAAATCGCGTCAGAAGCATGATTTAAAATTGTCAAAGTAATTATAAAACTTAATAATTGATTGATTGATCGATTAAGATAAAGATTTAAGATTTTAAAAAATCCAATATGTTCAACAAATCTGCTAGCAGCCACTATGTTAGACACTTTTTTATAGGTATGTACATATATGCTTAGCATGAAGAGATGAATCGTCTGTTGAATGATAACAGCTAGGAATACCAAACTTGGTATGTAGACTTGTCCTATCCATATGCAAAACAAGTTTATTGTAAACCATGTATAGTCGGTTGAGAACTTAAGCTTAGAATCAAAATCTTTTTATTTATTACGATAAGGTAAGCAAGCTTAGGATTTCTAAGTTTTTTATAGTACTGTCTACTATATCATATAGCTGTTATAGGAATGATCGGTTCAAGAATCAATCTTAATACTAACTTTTCTTTTGTTTAAATCGATTTCATAGGAAGTTTAATTGAAATCTATGCACCATATCATCAGCTGTCCTAAGAATGATAACAAAGTTGCCTGTAGCGCGGAAAGGTGCGAGTACAGAGTATTTAAAAGTCGCACAGGCATGCCTTTAATTTTCTACTAGTTTTTTTATTATCAAAGAAATTATTTTAGTAAACATTACAAAGAACAATAGCTTGTAAAAATATGGTGTAAACTAAAAAGTGGTCGGAATCGAGCAATTATGGAAATATGAAAATATGAAACAAAATATAAAATATCTAGACTAGTGTCTAGATTTTATGGGTTCGGCGAATGGCAACAAAATTTCACGCAAAAGGAAAAGACTCTTCAGAGCTGCCGACGAGCCCGTTCAATAGTTAAGAACTCCGCTGTGGCATATTTGCTTAATGCGTCATTTGGGGAAATCTGACGACTTGAACTCCACTTGGGGAGTGTTGTAAAAAAAAGCAAAGGGACTGCCACTGCGCAATCATTTGTTACATGCTTGCACAATCAAAGTGAACAGCAAGCTACGTGCCCCCAGTGGGGCACATGTCAACTGGCGGCTGCTCGTATAATTAATGTTTATATTATATACGTACGAGTACAGGCATCTGTAATTGTATCTGTACCTGTCGTTTTGCAAATTTCCAGGTGGTCGTTTAAAAAATGCGCAGAAAAGAGTGTAAAATGTGTAATGTGTGTGTATGTGTGTGTGTGTGTGTGTCAGTAAGTCAGTTAAATGACGCGCCCACTAACCTTAGCCTTAATTACTCATTCACACAGTCAGTCAGTCATTCAGTTTGTCAGTTTGTCATTTACAAAGTCAATTGAATAAATTTTTTCAAAGCGTTACATTGTGCGAAAGAAAAGACCTCTGGCCAGTCGATCTGGAAAAAATGATATATGATCATAGAAAATGCCGCGACACTTGGCAAAATATAAAGTATTTTTGTTTAAATGTATAATACAAGAGAGGGCTATAAAACAACTCCTACTTCTACAACTATTTCGATTTATATAGTAGTTTGCAGAAAAGTATTTGCCTTTCATAAAAACAATAAATTATGTAGTTTTTATAAATTCTGCAATAGCTCTTAGCTAATTTTAATTAATTATATTAATCATATTAATTGTATATACTTATTATAGCTATTGATTTTCAAGATTAATTTTAAATCATTTTTTTAATTAATTAATTATTGCGATTAGGCTTAAACACCATCCTTCTCTGCGCACTCAAGCAAGGCCATTTCAGCTGAAAGAACTTAAGACTGTGTCTTCCTCCTCTGCGCTTCTCTTAAAATTACTTATTTATTTATTTATTGGTAATTAGTTCCTAGTGCAACAAATAGAGTTACTTATATGTTACAGCACTAGTCATTCTAGCCACTTAGTCGTTAAAGCAAAGCCAATTTATTTCATAAAAGCATTAATCCAAATAGATATAATAGATATGTTATAATAATATCGTAAAATACTATAAAAAAGTACTTTTTTTAATTATAAAGAAATTCATAAACGAATTCGTTTATTTAAAAAACATAAAATTTATTTTCTATTTTTTCCATTTGATTTGTTTTGTGTGTTTTGATAAAAATAATTCTTATAGTTCTTCATAGTTCTTATAGTTCATATGAACTATCTCTATAATTCAAAAACTAGTTTTCCTACTTACTGAAGTCATGAAATATGGACCAATCGCTCAAACTTAGAACCTTAAACAGACTATAAACAAAAACTCAACAATATCTTAAAGCGCCTTCGACACATTATGGAAATTATCGAAGTTATACTTTAGAAAGAATCGACTAAATTGATTCCTAACTTAATGACACAATTCTCTTAAAATAGAATGTTCAGGTAATTTCGTTCAGTGCAGAATATAGGTAGATGCGAGTACTATCAATCAAAACCAGTTGGAGTTGTAGTGTAGCCGAGAGGCTTAGAAGCAAGCGTCTGGCAAAAATGTGTGTTAATGCCGTCCAAATAGGCAGACATGCCCGTCTTCGATAAACAAAGTGGCCGGACTGGCCAAGTGGCCAACTGGCCAACAAGATCAGCGCAAGATCAATGCGGGCTTCGATAGCCGGCAGTAGCCAAAGCCAAAGCAAAAGCCAAAGCCAAAGCCAGAGAGTCAAAGGCAAAGCCAAAGCCAAGTTGGCCGCTTGGCAGACCTTCGTTGTCAATGGCAGTTAAAAGCGGCAGCAGAAATAGTTGTGGTATGGTTGTAAAAATATGGGTCGTCAGCTCTGTTGGAGCTGATGCTGCTGGTGCTGCGACTGAGAGTAGCTTGGCAAGAAAATGAGAAAGTGCACATGTGTGTGTGTATGTGTGTATGTGCGTGTGTGTGTGTGTGTAGACTCGTATGTGCCCCACTTTACAAAGGAGATGAATAATTATGAAGCGGTATACACCGTTAGCTTCAACTTCAACTTCATGAATGCATGCTGCTGGGTTTGGCCACAAATGCGTGAGTGTGTGTGTCTATCCGTATATGTGTGTGTGTCTATCTTTATTTGTGTGTGTGTGTGTGCTGATCGAATTGACATCGACGGACCACCAAAGACAACAGGTAGCTCAACAATTTGTGAACACATTCGGTTGGCCAATTCAAAAGCACAAAACTATCAACTAACTGTTATCTGTGAAGCATAACTTTTATGCTATAGTATTTCCTCAACGCTGCTATAAAGGGTGTATTTCTGTTGAAGACGACTTCTTATTTTTTCTTTAACTTATTTAATTGTTCATAAAAGTGCTTTTGGGAAGTTATTTGCGGAAGTAACTTTTATTTTTATGACTACGGCAACATTCAAAAGATTGTATGTATCTATGTATGTATATCTGTTTAGTAAATCAAGAAAAAAGAAGGAAAAGTTTGTTTTTAGATTAAAACGCAGCCTTACTTCTAAATCTGCCATTCAATTCGTAGTACCTGTACATAATTGTTTGGCCAAAACAGCAGGCAAAGTTTTAGAACTAGAATATTTCTACTACATACTTGTATATATATATTGTAAAAAATGTAGTGTACAAATCCGGCATCGCTCAACTATATATTGTACGCAGTGATTTCAGTCTTACAGAACAATCTTCAAAAGTTTGTTCAAATTTGTTAAAGTCCCAGCGGCTGTTAAGAGCGATGGAAATAATAGCGATTTTTAACAGCGATTCCAATGTTAATTTTACATTAACAGCCTTATTTTTACGGCACCAACATTTACACATGCCAACGGCTGTTAATAACATAACAACAACTAATAGAGCGTAAGTAGAAGCAAAAGCAGCTGTAATTGGAGAAATACATATACGTACTTGTCGCCTTAACAGTTGGCACTTAACAGTTGTCCCTTAACAGTTGTCGCTTCTGTTCTTTAAAAAGTCAAACAGATAAGATTTCGAACTGTTTGTTTATTTAAAAGCTACAATAGCAGCTGTAATTGGAGAAATAATCGTACTTGTCGCCTTAACAGTTGGCACTTAACAGTTGTCACTTCTGTTCTTTAAAAAGTCAAACAGATAAGATTTCGAACTGTTTGTTTATTTAAAAGCTACAATAGCAGCTGCAATTGGAGAAATAATCGTACTTGTCGCCTTAACAGTTGGCACTTAACAGTTGTCCCTTAACAGTTGTCGCTTCTGTTCTTTAAAAAGTGAAACAGATAAGATTTCAAACTGTTTGTTTATTTAAAAGCTGCTATATTTGTGCGATCACAACTTGTTCATTATTTTGAAAGTTTAGAGTTTTGATGTGACTATGAATTCTTACATTTGACTGCGGATGTTGTTATTGAAATTTGACAGTAATTAAATTAAATAAAATGTGATATCTCTTAACGACTTATAAACATGTTTGTTGAAATTGTAATAGTTCCTAACATTTTGCAATAAAAGCAGTAAGAAATACGAAATCGCCTAGAAATGTCAAAGGCAAAGCAATCGAGATACATTCTCTGTGAAAACAAGTGTACTTTTAACTGAAAATAGGGGATATACAAGTATTTCTAAAAATCATTAACTGTAAAGTAGATGTGTAGTATGTTCTTGAGATTATAGAAAGATTTAAAATTTTAAAATACTCTTGTGACCTGGATTTCATTACTATACATCTAGTATATATTTATAATTTTTACGAAAAAATAAAACTGTTCGTTAGTACAATTGAAATACTTTTTAGCATTCGGTTTCTTATTTTTATTTCTAAACAAATTTTAATACAAATATTATTTTGGCGATATTTTTCAGCTGCTGCCAGCATGTCCAGCGCCACGCATATGGCTCTGCCGGCGCATGCCGTGGTGCCCGGCACTCCACCCATCATCATGAGCAGCAGCATTAGCGGCAGCAGCAGCAGTACGCCAGCAATTCTGGGCCAGCCGCTGGGGAAGCGCGGCCACAAGCGGTCTGTCTCGCTGGAGAATAATGCGCCGCTGCCGTTGCGCAGCACTCCCAGCCTGTGCAGTGTTCAGGCGCAGACGACGCCACAGCCACAGCCCTCGTATACGGGCACACTAAAGTCGCGCAACGAGCAGCGACGCCTGAGCCAAAAATATGGTAGTCATAATAATCTAGACGATGACTATGGAGGTTCGGCAACAGTGACGCCCCAATCGCGTCTAAAATTTCAAAATATACGACAAATGTTCGAGCTGAGTCGCAATTGTGGCACGGCGGGCGGGGAGGGCGGCAAGGCGGATGAAGTGACGCTGCAATCGCTGCCAACAGTTCTGACACAGCAGCAGCAGCAACAACAACAACAACAGCAACAGTACTGTGCAGGCGAGCCCAACGAACAGGTGAGGCCAAACTTAATACAAAACACACCCATTTAGGGCTTGACTATTCAAGTTTTTGTTTCTCTCAGTCCGGCGGCAATTTTTTGCGGCCAATTGCTTTCAAGCCCATACCCTTTGAACCGGACTATCGCATTGCCCAGCATCAACTCCAACACCAACACCAGCAACAGCAACAACAGCAGCAGCAACAACAACAGCAACAGAATGTAGAGCAGCAGCAGCAGCAGCAGCAGCAACAACAACAACAGCAGCTGCAACAACAACAACAACTCAATCCAGCTTCACATTTGCACTCCGAACTGAACAGTGAACGCTACGGCTATGGTTCAACACCATCGCTGGCACCTGTGCAGACGTCCGCGCACAAATTCGGAAGTAAGTCTGTTTGCAGTGTTCGACTGTATGAACGTTGAGATCTTTTAAGTCATAGTAGCTAGGCCCAACAAACTAGGCCCAAAGACTTGTCTTACCTATGCCCCGAAGTAGTTTATTACAAGTCACATTTAGCTTCATTATCTAATAACGATCTGGCTTAAAAACAGTCATTGTATGACAAGCTTTTTTATTAGATATTGACAAGTTTATTTATGAAAAAATAATTACTGGAAAGTTAGATTCGGATGAGCTAACTTTTTTATATGGCTCTGATAGGAAAAATTAAGTATATGTATGACAATATTATTTAGATACTGTAATCAAATTGAATATTGACAAGCTATTTCGCATATCCAAGGATACTGAAAAGTTTGAGTCAGATATATCATTTAGCTGTCATAGGAACAATCGTGGTCCAGAAACAGCTTTGATATTCAAAGATATTGAAACACAACTGAGTATTAGAAAGTATGGTAATAAAAAGAATGATGCCGCAAAGTTTGTATCAAAATTCGAAATATCATATAGCTTTCATACAAGCGAAAAACTTGTTCGTTTCTTCAGTTATTGAGAAGCTTACGGAAAATATTCTTTAGGTATCTAGTATCGCTAGTAAGTGGTTTTGTTATTCATTGTTTAAAGAGGGTCAGTCAAAATTGAATATTTTCTCATAAGAGAGCAGCCTAAAACAACATTTTCTGCTTCACATCGAGCATTGTTTAATGACCTCGTTCTTAACCCATATTTTCCCATTAAGGCATCAACGATTTGCGTCCGCATGGAGGCTCGCTCGGGGGGCCCGCTCATGCCGCTCTGGGTCTGATGGGCAGTGGCTATAATGGTTACGGCAATAGCCTGAAGCCACGTCGTGGACATCGTGGGTATCGGGCACAGTTTCGTTGCAGCAGCAACGACGACAGCACGGAGTCCATTGCTCTGACAAACGAGGGCATGGCCAAGGGGAATGGCCATAATGGCGGCAACAACAACAACAACAACAACATTAACAACAACAGTAATGGCAATGCCAATCCAAATCATAATACCAGCAACAACAACAACAACAATAACAATGGAGCTATCAAGTACCAATGCGAGCTGACACCCTCACCGAGCGATTCGGGTATCTCGGATTTGGAGGCAGCCCTCAAGGATCGCGATTCGGAACTCTCTTATTTGAGACACACCATGGAACACAATGAGAAAGTAATTTTCAAAGTGCAAAAGGTTAAAAGAAAGCAAATTTTTGTCCAAAAAAATATTTGAAAAAAACTCGCACTTCTGCGAGCGTCTGTGCGACAAAGTTTTCGAAAAACAAACGCTTGACTTATTTTTTTTTTTTTTTTGTTTTTTTTTTATATTCTTCTCCATTTTTCCAATTCTCTTTCTTTTATATGTATTATATGTTCATAGGATAAGGAAGTGTATTGGGAACACGAGACGCAACGCCTGAAACACTTCTATGAGGGGCAGCAGCGTGAGTATTTGTTGAAATTCAAGAAAATGGAGCAACTACTGGCCCTGCAGCAATTCCAATTGAAACAACACAAGTTGAGGCAAAGCGAACAGCTCCATAAATTGCGGGAGCAATTGGCTTCCGTGCAGCAGGAATTGGAGCTGGTCAGGTGAGCTGAAAAGTAAAGACTGTCAAGAGCTGTTCATTCAAGATGGATCTCATGAAAATTCACGAAAACCCCTAAACAGATGTGTTGAAATCGATTTGGCGTTAAGCCTAAGTTCTCACAAATAGCGTAAAGTTAACAAATTGTGTTTCAGTTTTAATATTTGAGGTTTTCGTTTTTCATGTCATAATATTTAAGCTATAGCTTAACAAAACTAAATACAACATTTCATCTGAGTGTTTTCATAATATTTAAAACAGCTATAGCTTGACAGAACTATAATATAATTGCTGGACCTTTATCGTATTCAGCGCTTTCAAGGCTTTCTTATTGTCATTTGATTAGGTTTCTCCTACTTAGGCTTCCCGAGCTTGTAAGGTTTCTTTTTATAATTTTTATATATTGTTTTCCTATGTCGACAGTCAATGTTTGTTGACATAAATAAAAATAAATCATATAAACAATGTTCTTCTCATTAGTTCCCATTTGTGGGTTGAATTTCCAAGGAAAAGATGTCCCTGTTTTAATAAACATGGCCTTCACGAAAACATAAGTAGTTGCCACGCAATTCACTTTTCAAAGTCTGCTTTTTTATGTCCCACATTTGTGGGTTACATTTTCCCCACATTTCATCCCTTTTCTTCTGATATTATTCCTGCAGATGCAGCAATCGGAGTCTGAAGCAGACCGAGCAGCAGTTGCAGGAGACAACATCCTCTTTGAACCGGCAACTAGGCGAGGCTCATCAAACGATAGCCGCGCTGCGCACTCAGCTGGAGGATAGCGAATGGAAGGTTTGTGAGCGGAACGGAGAGATAGCTTTACTGAAGACGCAGCTGAAAGAAGCGCATGTAAGTGGAGTTGTGGGTAACAAAGAAAAGTAAATCTAATCGAATCTAATCGAATTTAATCGATAGCTTGAAATCAACATGAAGGATCATGCAATTGTCAATTTGAAGCAAAACAGCAATCACAGCAATAATCATCATCATCATCATCCTCATGAGAACACATCCTCGTACCAAAGTCAACCAAAGCCCAAGGCGGAGAGCTCGGAGCCGGAACAACAACAACAACAACAGCAGAAACAACAACAGCTGCATACAATAATTGCACTGAAAGATGACGTCATCAGCGCTCTCACCAATGAATTGGCCAAATTGAGGAAGGAACTCTCCGACCTGGCCATTGCCCATGAGTATGGAGAGGAGCCATGCGGTCGCTATACTCGCCTCAAACAGCAGCTGGACAACCTAAACGAGATCTGCCAGAAGACGCGCAAATATGCTCAAGCAACGCCGGGAATTGCGTCGAATGCTCCGCAGCTGGACGCGATTATGCAACGCCTTCAGTTGGCGAACAGTCTGGATCAGGGGAAGCAGTCGCAGCAAACGCTCGACACACTGATCGAGGAGTCCACCACCTATGCCGAGGATATTGCTAAGCTTAGGCAGAAGCTCGACGATTTCCGCATTAATCTGGAGCTGGAGAAGCGACAGTGGTGTGCCGAAAAGGATAAGGTGCTCAGCTATCAGAAACAATTGCAGGCCCACTACATACACATGTATCAGAAGCTGCGATGTCTGGACAATGCAACGACAATTACGACAAGTGGGGTGCCACCAAATGTGGCGGTAGCAACAGCTACGAAGGCCCGGGAGACGGCCAATGTGAGCTGAGCTGAATGGTGCTGGGAGGATTTCTTTTAATTTTTTTTTTATTTGTTTTTTGCTTTTTTTTTTACCACAATTCAGCCCCGAGGGCAGAATGTTATTCCTTTTTTGTGTTTCTTATGAAATCGACGAATTTATTTTGCAATTTTTCATTTGAAGGACAACCATTTCGATCGATCGAGCGAATAAATCTTTCTTCTGACAGACAAGTAGTTTGCGCACAAACTCATCTTAATTGCCACACAAAATCGTTGTCAATTGGTCTTTTCTTTCACCTTAGGACTGGCTTCACTGTAACACACTCTCTTGTTTTTATTGCAAATAGTGTGACCGTATTTTGAGAAGCTTGTTCACCTTATTAAAAAAAAATGCATTACAAACCACAATTATTGCCTTTTTCATTTCAGGGCTTGCTTTACTGTAAAACAATCTCTTGTTTTTATTGCAAATAGTGTGACCGTATTTTCAGAAGTTTATTTGTAATATTTTGGTGAACAGTCTGTTCGAAAAAATTCATTACAAACCACAATTATTGCATTTCATTGAAATTAAAAGTTTTTTTGTGCGCAAATTATTTGTCCGTCTGACCATAAACACCTTAAAGAAACTTCCCATTTCTAAGTCCCTTTATTTTAAAAACCGTATTGAGGACCTCTAACAATATCAAACACAGGTCTACTACGAATTCCTTTGACTTTTGGGAACAAGTTTCCGTCCTGCCTTTGCAAATAATTCCAGCAATAACACACGATTTTTGGATACATTATATTTATGATATATTTTTAAAAAATATATTACAATTTTTTTTGTTCTTAAACGTTTTTTTTTCGCACATTTACTCATTTATTATAGACATAATTTATTAAATGTAACTAAAACGGAAAACAAACAAAGAAACAAACAAAAAAAAAACGATTTGTGATTTTGTTTTGTTGTAAATGTTGAATATATCATTATTATTATTTTTATTATTATTGTGTATGCGTAAAACGTTTATTAATTTAAACAATAAAATATAAATTGTATATCTATAAAAAAAAATGTTAGTCAAGATTACGTGGAGGGCATAAAATAAATGACTCAACTTGACGGAGTTTCCATAGCGCTATAACAAATTAAAAAAATATATACTATATTTTAATAGAAGACATATAATGATTCTTTAAATACATTCATTCACTTCATATCGGGTATACATATATTTCTTATTTTTTTTTTTCAGCATTTTCAAAAGGCCAAAATGGTTGCTTAAACATACATTATATAGTTATTGTTTACACATCTATTCCACAGAGACATATATTCCATTCCATTCCATTCCAACATTCACACTCATAATATATATGTATATAATAATAATCGGAGAGAACTCAGGCACACTCCTCCACATATGTGGCCGGAAAGATGCCGATTTGATTGCGCAGAGCCCCCAACCACCAGCCATCGTCCTGTTTGGCATGCACCTCAATCACATCCCCTGGCTGTAGCTGCAGCTCGTCATAGAGTTTTGGCGTATAGCTGTAGAGGGCCTTGCAGCGTCCGAGGACTTGGCCGCCATTGCTGCTGCCGCTATCCTTAGAGTGGGCGCTAGTGCCGGTTCCACTTGTCCCCTGCGAACAGATCGATGCATTCTGTAAGTCCTGCGCATTCTGATAATAATTTTGTGGCTGTACGGCCAAATGTTGCGGCTGCGATTGCAATGGCGACTGTTGTTGTTGTTGTGGATGCAACTGTGGATGCGTCTGGGGTGCATCCTCCTCATCCTCGTCCTCATCCTCCGAGCTGAACTCATCGAAATCGGAGTCCTGCTGATTGGAGCCGCCATCCCCCTGGCCGCGATCGCTGTGCGACATTGCCGGCACTGTCTTCGATTTGCTCGCATGTATGTTGGAGGCCGTTGCCAAGGATGTGTTCGTCGTCGAGATTATCTTTGGTTGACTGGTGAAGGTTTCTATGTTGCTTTTGCTGCGATTGAAATGCTTCAGCAGCAGCGATGATTGCTGCTGATTCTGATTCTGATTCAGAGTCTGCTGCTGTATCTGCATCGGATTCTGTGCTCCCGATGCCTCGCTGATGTTGGCGCAGGAGCTGTTGTTGTTGTTGTTATTATTATTGTTGTTGTTGAACTGAGGATCATCATGAAGGGAAACATCGCCATTGTCGAGCATCGAAGACGCCTGTGTCTTATCATTGTTCTTCAGCCAATTCGGCACCTTCAATATGCTCTGCTGAAGTCCGTTGCGATCGCGTGTGATCTAAAAAAAAAAAACATAAGCAAAAAATAAACAGATATAGGATATTTATAAGCTTTTCTACAGCTAAATTTATGTATTTTTCTTGGCGCTAATGCTTTAAGCACCAACATAAATTAAGGACTTTTTACAAATATATTGTTCCTTTTTTAGACAACCCGTCAAAAACTGTATGACAATCGGAAGAATTGAAGCCTAGTTATCGCACAGAAAATAGCACTGTCTTACGTTCGAATTTGAAGTTCTGTTTCAAACTCGAAACAACTTGTTCCGAAACATCCCAATTCATGAAACACAAATGATTGATAATTGATTGTTTTGTACCAGAGCCAACGGGTGGTATACGCGATTGAAGAATGAACCTATTTCACGAGTATATATGACCGAGAAATTTCAAAAAAAAAAAAAATAATAATAAAAAAAATAAAAAATTAATATCCGCTCAAATTTACTAAAAAATTTTACTAAAATTAATCATTAAATTGTGAGCGAATTAATACAAATTAAAATGTATAAATCATGGTGAAAATACATAGATAATCCTTAAAAAAGGATGTCAGTGAATACCTCGCTTTCCAAAAGTTACTATAAGTAAATGATTTTTTCGTTAAAAAAAAAAATAATAATAATCATTATTTACAGTCCCTGAATTTTAGCGATATTTTTTTCACTCCAGCCACTAGTCTAGCCCAGATCCTATCCAACCCAACATTTTTCGGGGGAAATGTGAAGCCCAAAAAGAAATTTGAATTATTTACTATTGAAGAGATAAAAGGCACCAAAGCAAGCTCAAACGCTCTATAATTTTAATTGTGTTTTAATGATTTGGGACTTTTGAATGCTTCTATAAGTTGCGACTGTTTGGAAATCTTTTCTTTATGAAACAGAAATAGATGTTTGTAATTATAGTTTTAAATGGTTCCTAATGCTTTAGGTCATGATTTATCGACAAATTACAAAAACCATGGAAATAAAATAAAATATATAAAATAAAATATTCATTGAATTCAGTTCTGGTAGTATTCAGAAGAAAATAAATACAAGTATTAATAAATAAGAACACGATAGCTAAACTTCCAGTGTTTTCTATTTTATAAAACCAAGCTCTAATGAAACAGTATTTTAAAAGAAATTAACTTTATAAACAAAATTCTAAATATAAATTGAAAAAAAAAGTTAAAAATTGTTATAACTTAAAAAGCCAGCTAGTTGAAATTTCTCTTCTGTAGAGTCCAACGAAAAAATATTCTTCAAAAATACAAGATAAAAAATCAAATAAAAAAAAGAGGGAACGATGTTGCTTCCAGCACGTTCAAAAGAGGAATGCGTAAAGTGCAGAATAAGATTGCCTATATTCTAAAATGTCAAAGGCTGCTTTTTTAACGATGAAATAACGATAACACGATAACGGAATTGTGACAGGGTTTCCAAAATGAGTTTGTTCTACTGCTGACAATATTTTGATGTTCGATTAGTTGGTGTGCAAACTATTCGACAGTCTGACCAGTGCGAAATCGTTCGCGTCAGTTACCAATCGATAGCTAAGTCAATGAGTTTATTTAAGTGAGCAGCCGATTCGACAGTCAGACCAGTGCGAAATCGTTCGCGCCAGAAAACCGCGTCAGTTACCAATCGATAGCTAAGTCGATGAGTTTATTTAAGTGAGCAGCCGATTTGTCGATATAAATGTGTATTTGGAAATTTCCTAAAATACTGACTAAGGGGGATTCGAACACAAACTTAAGCCCGAACTTAGTACGATCAGTCCAAAAATAGCACCCACCTGTATGTGCTGAGCCAGCGGATGGGTTGTGCGCGGCTTGTGATCCAACTCGAGCAGTGCCGAGTGAAGTTTCAGGCGAGCGCCCTCCAAGTAAGTCAGCATCGAACGTATCTGAGAAAGGATGCGAGGGGGAGTGGTTAGAGGTGTGTGTGTGTGTGTGAGGGAATTACAAAAAATATGCTTACATGGTACAATTTATCGGTGATGTTCTGATGTTCCTGTTGGTTCAAGGACTGGGATAAGCCGCGCAATCCATCGCGAGAGCGTCGTTCGCGCTCTAGATCGGTTTTAACCAATTGCAGCAGCTTGATGAGGGCGTGTTTGCGCCTCTCTCTGTTCATGGCGAGCGTGGTGTGTTCGCAGTAGAAATCGGGCAGCAGCTGCTCGCTGGGTCCCTCCGAGTTGCGGCGTATATTGCGCACAACCAGCATATCCTTGGCCACATTGCAGGCCTCCAGCTGTGGCTGCAGAGCATTCACAAGGCCCCCCAGTATGGGACTCATGTCGGCAGTGAGACGAGCATATTGCTGAACGAAATTCTGCATGCTGGCCAGACGCTGTTGTTCGCTGTTCTGAAGCTGAGCAGATCCGCGGAGCACAGCCATTTCCCAATCCACACGAGCGCGCTCGGCACGCACACATAATGTATAATACTCGACATCGGCACGCTTGACAGCCTCCTCGGCCTTCTTGCGTTTATTGTCCAGCTTGACGCAATCCTTTTCGGCCGATTTGAGTTCCTTCTCGGCGGCCAGTTTGTTCGGTCCTTGATGGAGCAAAGCGATCGATGGCGATTTCTGTATGCGCACGTCCAGCATGGCATCCTGTAGCTTCTCATTCTCACGTGCTGCCGTGTGGGAGGCCTTCTTGGCCTTCGCCTCGCTCACACGCCATTCGCTGAGCACACGCGATGCCTTATCCACGTTGCCCTCCACCTAGAAGCACAGAGTTGGGGAAGAAGGAGTAAGTTGTATTATCGGGCTATCAAGTCCTCTGAGAGACTTACCGCTTTGCGTGACTTGTGATGACTGTCCACAATGGTCTTGAGTGGCTTGACCAGCTCATCTGTTAGTGATGCAGCCAACTGGCGGTGTATGTCGCTGCGGCTTTCCATTTCAGTAGCAACACCACGCCAGGCGTCAGCGACACTGCCGGGCAGCTCCCGACACGCTTTGTTCAGTTTATTGGCCATCTTGGATAGTGACTTGGAGTATATAAGCTCGGAGTCGGCACTGCAAAGCAAATAAATCAATAAGTGGAAGTCTGCATAATTATTATGCATTGATTTCAAATTTTGAGGATAAGTGTAAATGATTTTTGAACACATATGTATATAAAAACATCAGGCTATATCTGATTTATAACAAACTTGATCTCCGCATGGCTAAGGCAAGTCTACGTAACAAGTTTGATAACTCTATCTCTGATAGCTCTGAAGATCTCGAGGATCATACTGTCAAACAAATAGACAGACAAATGAGCAGACAAGCGGACGTCATGATTTTTTTTGCCTATTGGGTCTTAGATTTCGGGTACAGTGCATACTCGAACATATATCCTAGTAAGTGATTTTTGAACAGATCATTCGTATGGCAGCTATATAAAAGAATCAGGCTATATATGATTTATAACAAACTTGATCTCCGCATGGCTAAGGCAAGTCTACATAACAAGTTTGATAACTCTATCTCTAATAGCTCCGTAGATCTCGAGGATCATACAGTCAAACAAATAGACAGGCGGATGAGCAGACAAGCGGACATCATGCATTTTTTTTGGCTGTTGGGTCTTAGATTTAAGGTACATCGCATACAAATAAGTTATACGTTGCACTTACCGCTCCTGGAGCACCAGTATAAGCTCCTTGCTGAAGTCGCCTCCTTGCTTTACATAGCGCCGAAGCTCTTCGAATCCGTTTTGCCCCTGTGAAAGTTATTGGAAATATTACTAAGCGAAATAATTTGGGATATTATTACAAGAGAGAGAGAGAGAGAGAGTGTAAAGTGTGTAAGCCCTAGACCCACTCCTCAACTAAGAGCAGCAACAAACTACCTCATCTTTGAAACGTTTCGCGTGCGGCGATAAGTCCTCCTCGCTGTTACCGCGCTGGGAGAGCGACGATTCCAGTTCGTCGCGTGCCTCTGCCTCTGTATTCTCTGTATGCTCCGTAACATCCTCAAAACTTTCGCTGAGCTCTCGCTCCTGCGATGTGACGCGTGCCGGAGAGAGCGATTGTCTTTCCGATTGTTGATCTGTTATTCTTGCTGATGTAGTAAGCGACTGATTGAGATTGAGACGCGATTGCGCTATTCGCTTGAGTGGCGTTTGTTGCTTGACAACCTCCTTCAGACGTGTACTCTCCTCCCCAATCCAATGCTTCATGCCGTGCCAGCCCTTTCGCAACTTCTCCTTATTGTGATTAAAGCTAATGAGACGGGAATTTTTGTTTTTCAGCAAAGTTATGCGTCGTTCGCTCGGTTTCAGCTGATCCCGATGTGTACAGTATTCCAAATCGATTTCACGACTAAAATCCTCCGTCTCATTGATCTGACGTGTGATCTCATTGAGTTCATCGATCGAAACGAACAGATTCTGAGCATTAAGGCTCTGATAGCTGACCGATTTGAGATCGAAATCATCGATGGCGCTACCATGGCTGCTTAGACTACGGCAGCTATTTAGGCTCTGCTTCGAATCGTGCGCCGATCGATGGGCTATCGAGGAGGCCTGACTGCTATATCGAGCACTATAGCGTTGTCCCAACCGATGTGAGTCTGATTCTGTAGCTGATATTGCTGGCAGTGGCAGATCGTCAAAGTCGATGCTTCTAAAGTGCGCCTGCTGGGCGAGAAATCCAGTTACCTTTGTGGTGGTCTCCAGTGAATCCAATTGTGGTGTTGGAGTCGCATTCTCTTTGTTATCGCTGGCCGCCAAACTGGCCAGACTGTTGCCAAAGAGCTCGGGCAAGTCGGGCAGATTGAGTCCAAGTTCGGGTGCTGTGGCGTTCATATTCACGGCCGCCATGCTGGGCGTCTTGTGCAGATAGACTTTGAGCTCGGAACGATGAAGGTTCTGCACCGATTGCGATTGTTGTTGTTTGCCAAAGCGCGGTCGACGGGCAGGTGCGGTGACCAGCAGCTGCGTTACGCTGCCGTCGAGGGTATCGATTGGGGGCAGGGTTGTGGGAGGTGTAGGAGGCGGAGTATTTGGTGGTTTGTGAGCGGGCGTTTCAAACTGTTCCGAAGCCTCGGCCTGCTGTTCCAGCCGCTCCCGCTCCCGCTCCTTTTCCCTTTCCTCCTGTGTGGTGCTCAGTGCATCCACAAATTCCTCCTCATGCTCGCTGCCCGAGGAGCGCGGCTGTGGCGAATTCTGAGCGCTTTGCGCCGGCGTCATTGTCCTTACAATTGTCGAATTGACCGCAATACCGCCGCCAATCTGTTTAAGACGTGCCTCAGTGACGCCAAAGCGATCCGTGTCCAAGGTGGTGGTTGATATCAGTATCGGTGCGCCGATCTCCAAACGATGATCCTCCGAGTTGCTGCCCGTCATATTATAGCTGCCGGTCGTCAGTTTAGGCGGCGATCCACCTTTGGGCAGACTGCCGCTTCCCAAATGCCGGCGACTCAGCTTATTCCCCAATGTGGAGTAACGTTTGATGCGCGTAAGGAATCCTTTGCCCCCACTATTATTGTTATTATTGCCATTGTCTGTGGTGGTGGTGCTGCTGTTGTTGTCAGCCACATTGTCCTTACCGCTCAGTTTAAATTTATGCGCGCGTAAATGATTCATTTCTCTACCGGTTGCTACTTATGTAGGTGTGTCTAATTTCGAATTTCGAATTTATAAATTAAATTTCATTTCAATTCAATTTCAATTCAGCACTGCATTGCACTTCTCACATATCGACGCACTCGCATTTCTACTGCAAATTTTCACATCTACCTACTCGCACATGTGTGTGTGTGTGTGTGTGTGTGATAGAAGCGAGCCGAAGGTGATTTGCAGAAAATTCAAAAATAAATAAAATAAAAATAATGATGATGACGAGGCGACAGCGCCAATAAAAGCAGAACAGAACATAGACAATGCTGTCGCTCTAACACTATGCACATACACATGAAAAGATAACGGTCAAGGGGAGAGTGATAGTGAGCTTAAGAGAGTTGTGGGGCTGCTGTTTGTTTTGCTCCCTCTCAGAGCTGCCACCTGATCTTTCAAAAACTCTACAAGTTTTTCTCCAACATGCATTTGAAATGCTCCATGGCTCCTGCTGCCGTTTTCTTTGCTCCACTTTCATTAGTGGCGACGGCGACCTAAAAATTTGTACAAATACGTATGTTTGTCCATAGAAGCGAAAAAGCGGCGTTGGTTAGGGATTTTCGAATGGTGGGGCTAGTGGGGGGAAGAGCCGGACTGGCGACAACGGCAGTGGCATACTTCAAACTAAAGACATGGGGTATTAGCTAAAGACAACATACACGTGGTGTCATAAATATCTGAACAAATAAAAAACTATTTGCTTTCTTGAAAAATTCCTTATTCCTAATCGTTAGAAAAAACATTCACTTTTTGCTAACTTAAGTAGAAATATCTTAAAAAGTGAACTCAAAGTCCACTCAAATATACGTTTTTATGTATAACTTCCACTTCAAAGATAAACACTTTAAATGACCTAATAATGCATATATATTTTAAATATTGACCGCAAAAACTTGTAAAATGTCGACGTACTGCCTTAATTTGGTGGAAGGTTACAAATAAGGAAGCATAAATTATTAAACATGTACTCCAAATTTAATTGCTCGACACTTGTTGGCCCCAAAAAGTGTTAAGCGTTAGGTTATAGTGTGTGACTTTTGTACAATAAATAATTCCCAAAATTTAATTTAAGTTAATTTATTAATTGGGCATGGTAAGAAAAATTTTCCCGCCTACTGTACATAGAGGAGCAAGTGAACATTTGGCGTTACCGCTGCCAGCGCTGCGCATAAATCGCTGCGTTGGCATCGATAGCGACGACAACAATAACAAAAAGAACAGCAACTGTAATCATTGCATATGCCAATGCCCATGCTTCTGTGCTCCACCTCCATCTCTCCCTCTCTATTTTTTTTTATCTTGTGCATTATTTAGGACACACAACCACACAGACACAAACATGCGCGGGCACACATACTTGCACGCTTTATTAATGTTGTAGCCGCCGCCTTTATTTACATGTGCCGCCTTTTCAGTTATTGCTTTGGTCCCAATCGTGTTGGTAATTACATAAATCATTTATTTCTGAACTATTAACTTTTAAGTTAAAAAAGATAATTGGCTTAATTTTTTGACGCGATTCTGTGAAATGTGCAGGGTGATTCTTTAGATGCGCTACAATAACAGTAAAGCATACATTTGTATGTCTGTATGATTTTGTGTGGCAGCCGTATACAATAATACAATAATACATAATAATAAAATATGTACGTGTGTAATTAATACCCACAGTAAGTACATAAGACTAACTCAAAAATATATTTAAAAATTTGCATTCCTTCAATTTGTATGATATGTTAAAATTTAATTTTATTTATTTTGGTTGTGAATTGAATTGGAGCATTTGGTGCATTTATAGTATATAAATGTACAAGTAGTTGTGAATTTAATCATTTTGAAATGGCTATGATTTAGTAATTATAGTAGCGGTGTCATTACTTAAAATGTGCTTTTTGCATGCGCAACAACAAAGCCTCAAATTCAAAGCACTGTTGACTTTGACACTCTGAGTGGTGCTGAGTGATGCTCTGTAAATGTTACTTGCACTCTTCTGACCTAAAGTTCACGTCACGACACATTTGAGCGCCTTACTAAGCTTAGCAGCGGGGCGGCAAGGGAGTGGGAGGCAACAAAAGGGGACTGAAGCGACGTCTTTGGTGCTGCTCATTAGCTTTGTGGAGACGTCAGACGCTAATGCATACATACAAATACAAATGTACACATATGTATGTATGTATGTATGTTTGCTTTGCATGCGTGTAAGTGTGCTTGATGTTTTTGTTGTAGCGGGGGCTACTGTTGTTACTTCATTTATAGCTGTTCTTTATACATAGTGCCGTGATGTAAGCACTGCTGCTATTAACTGCGCGCTCTTCTCACGTCTCTCTCTTTGCCTCTCACATTGCTTCTTTCTTGGCCAGCTCGTTACACTTTACGCGTCTTGCCATTCTGATGCAAATTCGAATGAAACCGTAGTAAGTAAAACAATTTAATTACATTTTGCAGCTGGTGTTGTTGTTGTTGCAGTCTCGGCTGTTGCATTGTTGCCTTTGCCTAATAGCATTTGCAAATGTTGAGAACCTGGCAGGCAGCTGTTTTATGTATTTGTTTGTATTGTTTTCATTTTTTTTCCAATTTTTTTCTTCTGGCTAACGCAATGTTTGAGTTCTGCTGCCCCAGACCCCAGAAATGCGTCTGTTTTCGAATGAGGCAGGCAAGGCGATGTCTTGGCTAAATAGTATGTGGTTTGCGATATGTCACGTATAACACGTACTTAGGGCAAAAAGCCGACCAAGTGTGGCACCAGCTTCAAAGTAAGTAAAAGGCTGTCAACTTCCTTGACTCCTCAAATTACACTTGGAGAAAAAGTTTGTCCAAAACTGAAGTACGCTTATCGCACTATGAAATGAATGGATTCCGTTTCACTAATTATGTCGGATGAATTTAATAAATGTTTTGCATTGACTTAATGTTTATTGATGCTTAGTTTTAATGTTAAATGAACAAGATTCATAGGCATAATATTCTTTTTCTACTATATTTAAAAAAAAATTTTTAGTTGTAGTGCTCTGTTTTTCAATGTTATACAAACTTCTAGCTAAGGTTCCGATAGCACTTTTCTGGATTCTATGCTCTGAATATTTGTTTAGGGTGTAAAGTTTCATGATTGTCGATAACTTACAGTTAAACTTTTAACGCAGTTAACGCAATTACATACGTGCTAAACTATTTACAGTTGGCAGTTTCCAATTGCCTGATTCCGCGGTACTTGAATGGGCTTTTTCAAGTTTTCCCTTTTATTATTCAATCTAATCGAAATGGCACGTTTGATCGTACAAACAAAAGCTAATTTAGTTTTAATTGGTAGATGAATGCTGCTATTAAGGAATACTCGTTAAATATTAGACTTCCTTGCAAGCCAGAATTTTTTTTATATCAAAACAGAACTCTTTTTAAAAACCCGAAACTTGGACTGAGTTGTGAGCACTTCATTTTATAGATAGATCCAAGAACCGTTTGTTTTAATATAAAAGCAAGTCAAACTAAATTCACTACTCTCTAATTCTAATCTAATTCTTATATGAATTTTTCTATAAAAATATTTCCCAGTCTTGGAAACATGGGAAAATTTGGCGTCATGGGCATATCATTAAAAATGCGTACATTAATTTTGTTTGCCAGTGTGAACAATCCCCTAAATAGAGAGAAAGGGGAGCAGGAGAATCAGACATGAAGTTGACACTGCACGTCACGCAAAATAATCTCAGTACACCCGGGTAGGATAATATTTGTGCATACCATAATGAGCGGTTTTGTTTAAGCAGAAAAGGCGCATAAAAACAATGCGTTCTGTCAGCTAATTGCAAAGGGTTCACAACAACAACAACGCCAACAACACAACAGCAACAAGAACTTGCAACATTCAGTATACAAGTTGCAATTCGAAAAGCCGTCTGCAGCTTGATGGGTTCGCAGCGATTATGTGCACAGCCCACAATGCTACACGCCCGCTCATCGTCAGCGTCATCTCCAGAAAAACCTGCAATTATTGGCTACAGTGGAAACAGACAGAAGAAACAACATACGACGACGACGACGATGAAGATGGAGATGATGATGATGATGACGACGACGACGACGACGACGACCAATGCAAGGTTTAAAAGTCAAATAACACAAATTATTGGCAAGCAAGCAAGAGATCATATGAAAACAATCAGCAGCAGCAGAAGCAGCAGTCAGGTTTTCTGTCCTTTGCCCCTGGCTAATAAAGCCAACTAACTATAAATAGCCGAACAACCACAACGAGTGCAACAATTGCAAACAATGCCTTAAGAAGTGCAAGAAGGGCCAAGAATTGAAAATCCTTTTCAGTTTTCCAGTTTCTGTCTCAGGCCCCTTTGATGGCAGCGACCAGAATTTATGATTAATAAATAAATAAGCGAACATTCATTTGTAACGCACATAATAATGCTGCGTTGGCCACCAATCGCTGTTCCACTGTTAGTTAACAGACAAAGGGCAACAAGTGGTCACAGTATGTAAGTTAACAGCAGCTGTTCATGTTAGTATATACTTGTATGCAATGTTAACTAACTTTCTAGCATATACAGTAATCAAACTATATACTTTTATCTGAGCTATACGAATGAGTGACATAATTGATTTTGGAAGTCAATGGTTTCAAAATTTTGCCATTATATCATTAGTTGATTTTGTTATACTTTTAACAGCTGGGACGTTACATAAATCATTTGTTGAGCTTGTTATCGATGCACAAAATTAGGAAACTCCCATATCCCACATTAATTTACTACTAATTGATCTTTTCGCTGATATAGCGTTTTTGGGGGACGCGCCCTTTACACACACTAAGCGTGAAAGTATCTGTGTTTTCATATGCCAGATGCCGAGTCGAATCGAATCTGTCCCTCCCTGTCCGCTTCTGTGGTGTTAAAAATAGCGAACGAGGCAGTGCACACGAAAGAAATATACAAACATACTCGTACATGCATATAGTATATACGTTTGTATGTGTTTTGGGCAGCAAAATGATCACAAG